GGATAGTGGCTCGGATTGAGAAATCGGAGAGCCGAGTTCGAATTCCAGTCGAATCCATTATATTCACTTTCGTGCTAATATCCTTGGGAAAGGTATGAATCCTCTTCCCCCCAGCTATGGGTAAATAGCAGGACAGACTGAGTTCTCTAACGTTGGGTGGCAACTGGTCTACCGCAGAAAGAAATGGCAACCTACTGCGGGAAAAAATCTGCCTCGTCAGTCATGTATCGAAGTCAGTCATTTATCGTCAGTCATGTATCACGCATGGCACATAACTGACTGGATATTTATGCAGATTATACAACAGTATATAGGGGCACCTCCAAAAATCTGGATAACCAGAACCTAGAAACTGATCTAGCCCTGGTCGCACCATGGAGGAAGGGCTGGCTTGTTAAATTCAATATGTCCAAAACCAAACTGATAACGTTTCACCATCACCGAGCAGAGCCCGAACTTTCTAATATCATGATGGATGGGTTTTCTCTCAAAGAGTCCTCTTGCTTTGGATTTCTGTTGGAACTCATACTCACCCCAGACCTCAAGTGCAACATACATTCGATCTATTCCTAAAGATGCTGGAAAAATGACCGTTTCCTTGTATCGGTCCATTAAGTATCTGACCACACCCTGCTATACTTTACAAGAGACAGACCTGACCAAAAATGGAGTATTGCTGCCATATCTAGACTAGAGCTGCTCAGCCATCACTTGCCTGCCTTGACAGAGTTCAAAAGTGTCTGCGCGCCCTTGCGGGTGATGCATTATTTTTCACCCAACAATCCCTCTCACACAGACGAAACATCGAGACACTCTCACTAATCTAACGTTATTTCTATGTCATGTGTTCTGACGAGTTACATTCTTTGAAACCACAAACCCTGAGCTTTCAATTGGGACTCACCATGCCAAGTACACAAGGATGAATCATTCTCATTGCTTTCTTATTCTGTTAGTAAGGAGGAAGTTCCACTTGAACAGCTTTTTTTCCAAGAACTGCTGCTTTGTGGAACAGGCTCCCGACACAGGATATTTTCTCGATCGCTATAATCTTGACCTGTCTAAGTTTAACTGTTATCATTCCCGCATAACCCCATGCACTTAATTTCTTGTCGCTAAATTTCTGAAGGCATCCCCTCTCAACTTGGTATCTATGCGGATGACACATACATTTACTCCTGTCTCGATAGTAAGCCTGCTCAGACCGATAAGGTCAAATTGGCGGCTGATCTCAAAAATGACCTACAGTCTGTTGTTAAACGGGACAAAGAATAGCTTTTTAATTTTAACGCCCCCCCCTAAAACTGCTAGCTATTAATCATCTGCGAGAACTCTTGCTCTCTTTTATCAGCATGGCTGATGCTTACCGCCATGAAAGTGACTCATTGCTTCTTCTCGGGCTAACATTCTCGGCTGACACGAAGTAGAAAGGCTATATTAAATCCAGTACTAGGCCCAATGCTAACAAAGTTGGTTCACTGTGTCGTGCTAGACAATTTTTCTCTCCAGAATCTATCTTACATATCTATAAGTCTACCATTCGTCCATGCTTTGAATATTAATGCCACATTTGGTCGAATGCCCCTGCTTTATATGTAGAGATTCTTGATAATAGCCAAAGATTAATTTTTAATATTATTGGTCCTGGCCTGACATCTCGGCTTCAGTCACTTTCACAACGCTGTAAGTTTGCTTCATTGTACCTTTTCTATAAATACTTTCATGGTAATTATTTGGATGAGCTTTTTGCTATAGTACCTAAATTATGAATTTAAATGCACTACTAGATTGGCGGAAAGGTCTCATTATTTTATAGCTGAAGTGGTTAAATGTAACCGTAAGTTCTATACTAACAGTTTCTTTTCTCGCACTTCTTGCTGGTGGAACTCTTTTCTGACTTCTTGCTTTTCAGTCAAGTTTGATCTTCAAACATTTAAATGCAATGTCAATTGTTATCTACTGTCTTCATTATTTCTCGTCTATTGTTCTCACTACTCAGTAATGCTTCTGTTTTTTAATTCTTTAAGCTTAGTCTGACAAAATTCTAAAATGACAGGAGGATTAAGTTGCCCTGATGTATAGAGTGTATGTTTGCCTTGAAAAAATCAGGTAGATACCACTAATCCTAACCTTTGACTTGGATTGGTATTCTTGGAATATTAGCTCAAGTTCCAGGGGCTCCCCCCCATGCAGTACCTCTCCCTCGGGTGTGAGATGGGTTTATTACCCAGTGCAAGAGGCGTTGCCCAAAAAGGGACGTGCCAAGGCTACCTGGGAATTTTTGCACGGTGTGGACATTAACCTCACTTTAAACCTCGACCTTGTGTCATATCCGGTTGCGACGTGGGCTCCCTGGTAGATACCACTAATCCTAACCTTGAAGACGAAACTGCTAGAGAAACAGTTGTGAATACCTTTAGCTAATTATAGATACAATATTCTATTCATTACTATTTCTCTAGTAGTTTCGTCTTCAAGGTTAGGATTAGTTTAGCCTCTAGCTGTATCAACTGCTATTTATTACGTGGAGATTTGCATAGGAATACAACTCAGCTTCTTCTCGTTTCTGAACACACCCATCTGCCAGATTTGGCCTGGTGCTTCTATGTATTTAGAGCTTCTTGATAAAATCCAAAGAATGTAGTGAACAGAGTGTTATAAACTATAAGTAGTTAAAACTATTCTCTAGTAGTTTTGTCTTCAAGGTTAGGATTTGTTTAGCCTCCATCTTTATCAACTGCTATTTATACGGTGGAGATTTGCATATAAATATAACACAAAGGGTATTTACACGGATGTGAAGGTAATGCACCGGACTGGGATTCGAACTCGGCTTGCCAATTTCTCATTCCGCTATCCATTATAAGTGAAGGAAGAAATCTTGCTGAGAGCAACAAAGAATAATCGGTTGAGGTGAGCCATGATCGCTCACATCAGAGCCAAGTGAAAATTTTCACTTTTATTGGTTGCCTAAAATCAGGTGAATACTTAAAAGTAGATGTAAAAGTTTTAATTACTTAAACGTCTTTGTATCGACACTGTCTAATATGTCCTTAGTAAATAAAACAGAAACATTTGTTTATATAATTTATGTACATCTGTCGTTTCAAATTAAATCTTTATTCGGATCGTTAGTAAATAGACGCATTTCAAGTGTTTAACAACTATAAAAATAAAAAAAAAAGTACTTAATATAAAAGAGATCACAATTTCAATTTCTAACGTACAGTATTTATTTGCTTAAAGTCTCTTGTGAGTTGGTGTCAAACGCCACCAATCACCACCCGTTCAACATTGATGTCTGCTTTATCAACGGAAGCTAATTACACTGGGCAAATTTTGTGTTGAACATCGATCGACGTTAGCATCTCGTCCATCAATCATCGTTAGGCAAAAACAAAACATCTACTTAGGTCGCATCTGACACTTCATTTTCTGCTTTAAACGAAACTCTCTAATAATGAGATAAAAAAAGGGATACGGATTGGCAGGGAGAAGCGTTTCCTTTTCTCCAAAATGGCGTCGTTAATTGGTGAATGTGTCCAATGAGCGATTAGACTAATTGAGCCTGAAATCAGGGCCAATAAAAAGAAACGAGCCGCAATCAGCATTTGACACCGGCATAAGTTTACAGCGCCATCTGTCAGGAAGGCGAAGTTATCGACGAGATGTTCTTATTGGATGTATACGCTCGTCTTATTTTATACGGGTAGAGAGGTGCAAGCGTGTCTTGTCCAAATATATGAATATGTATATTTGTTTATTTATACTATAATTCACTCAATAGAAGTTTCAAGTGCCACTCAAGGTCGAGGGTTACAGAATGAAGCTGTTTTAAGTGTGTAAAGGGAGGGAGTAATAAGTGCATATTATGAAGATATGTAGGAGATATAACGGTTGACTTGAAGAGGGGTGTGGGAACATTGTTAATAATATAAATAAAAATAAAATATAAGAAAATAAAAATAAGGAAAATTATAAATAAAATAAAATATAAACCATGTTCAAAATAAATAAATAGATAAAAAATAAAAATGATAAAATTACTTCCAGCATGCAACAGGCACTTTTCCTGCCGGAAATATGAACATCCCGCCAAGAGACGTGAGATTCTTTTGGGGACACTTCAGGCGCCGTGAAATAAACTAAGCCCCATCCCGAGGGAGAAGTAATTCCTGGGGGGAAATCTCCCTGGAGCTTGGGCTAATATTCAAAGAATACCAATCCCAACCAAAAAGTTAGGATTAGTTTAGCCTCCTGCTGTATCAACTGCTATTATTACGAATACAACATTTGAGTGGAATTTCAGCTATGGGTGAAATAATGGGACTTGTATCTGGGAAAAAAATCATTGTTATTCTCAAAAAGATATTAATGCAATATTCACTTGCAAAAAAGAATTATTTTAGAGAGAAGAAAAATAATTACATAATTATAAAATTTTATTGAACTTTTCGGAAATTATTTGTTAATATAATTATTTTTTAAATCAGTGAACATATTTTGTAGAAATATTTTAGATTTGTCAATGATTAAAATATACATGCGTACACTTAAACGTACATACGCACACAATTTGAATGAAACTGAAATAGACACATGTGTTGAAAGGACTAATTACTCTTTTTGTCTGGCAACAGCACTTGGGTAACAGGAAAAGAATATACACTAAAATGTGCAGCTTTTGAAATCTATTTTATGACTCCTCCAATATTTTAAAGTGAGTAGATTTGCTAATAAATGTGATATTTTAAATGGATAAACAATTTAGATTTGAAATTTGAACATCTTGTGGTCAGCGAAGCGACATGTTCCGAACTAACTAGACATACAGTTGAGAAAGATATATTTGGTTAACACAGTATCATATAGGTTGATTACCTTTTATTTCATGCGTTAATATTGACTCCTTGGCATTTCATGTTTACGTTATACCCAGAACGCAACCTTCATCAGTCGTTTAAAAATTGATTGGGCTTACGGACTTACGGAGCTTACTCGTTGAAACACTGATTTTCGTCTGGTCACCGAAGTTAAGCAGCGTTGAGCCTGATCAGTAATTAGATTGAGGACCGCTTGGGAATACCAGGTGCTGTAAGCTTGGATGTGCGGCTGGTGTAATGGATAACGGAATTGGAAATCGGAGAGTCGAGTCCCAGTCCCAGTCCCAGTCGGGTTCGTTATATTCACTTGCGCGCAAATATCAATGGGAAAAGGCATGAATCCACTTCTTTTCTCACTAGGTATAAGTTATGACTTGTATCAGAAAATCATTATTATCTCCAGAAACTTACATGTCACCAATGGTATACGAAGGGAATGAGAGAGGTTTGCTACACTGTGCATGGCCCATATACCGGGTGTAACAGCAGAATTGTCCAAATCGAGTAACAGCAAAATTGTCTAATTCTTATATTAAGCGTTGAACCGTTGTTCTCAGGTCCACCCTAACCAGGGGTGGTAGGACCTGTTAGGGCTCCATTTATGGGTCAATAGTGAATCCCAAACACAAATCAACAGTACATTTTTATAATATTTTATGATTCCTTGCGAATCATCGTCGCCACTTTTGTGATGGTGGACGGCTTCGCTTGTCACTTTTTCTATGTCAAGCGAAAGCTCGTTATCACTTCGAAAAAGTCTCGTTATATTCGAGACTTTGTAGACGCCAGTAGTAGTAGTAACGCCTTCCAATAATATCCGCACTAGAAATACTTGTTCAAGTAGTAATTGCCAAATAGTATAAGGATCAGAAGAGAATCATAATCCGCGTAGTAGTAGATTAGAGAGAGTGAACGTATAGCAATAGTGGATAGACAAGAAGAGTGAACAGTGATCCGTATAGTGATAGAGAAGAAATGGAGATCAATTAGTCATTACGGTACTTCGTATTTATTCACTTGCTTTATGATCACGTGATCTATTTAATAATGGAATAGCCCGTGTTACTCACTGGTGATCTAGTTTCAAACCACAGTGTCGGTAACGACACTTATTCTTATACAACATAATAAAATTACTAACAATACATTTTTATAAAAAAATTTCAACAGTACATTTGTGTAGTGAAATTACCAGTAATACGTTTAAAAAATACAATACATTTTATCATCTACAAACTATATATCTACAATCATATGTTAAAACTTAATGTATAAAATTTTGTACAAAATATCTATTTTTGAAAATAAAAAAAATAATTCCGTTCAAAATACATTCCATAAAGTTTGTGTGCACTTTAAAAAATTTATAACTTTATTTGTATTTGCGATAGAAATAATCTGTAACAAATGTTATAAAGTTTAATGTACCTAGTTTTAAGTATAGTTATTGAATAATTCTTTACCACAAAACAATTTTTAGATAAGAAAAAAATATTTTCTTTTTTCCAGAATCAATTTGATCCATGGCTTCAACCGAGGAAAAAGTAAACTGTGTCCTTTGGTTGGCTGAACTGAAATCTATTATTGCTGTGCATAGAAAATTTAGAATTGAATACAATAAAGAACCACCTCATAGGAACACTGTTGCTAAATGGATGAAAAAATTTAAAGAGACAGGTTTCGTCCATGATAAACCACGGTCTGAAAGGCCATGTATAAGCGACAAAAGTGTTGCATCCATAAAAAAATGATGGAGGGCATGTGGAAACTTAAATAAAATTTCAATAAAACCATAAAAAATATAGATTTACTTCTTTCTAACCCTTTTTACAAATTATTTTTATCACAAATACAAATAAATTAAATTTTTTAAAGTACACACGAACTTTATGGACACCATCTACACTGCGTGCCAAATTATTATCCAGATAATTTTTTTCTAATATTTCAAAAACCGTCCAATCAATTCACACAAAATTTTCACACTGAGCTGCACAATCACTGAAATTTTCGTACTGATCTACGCAATGTAAACAAACTGGCGCCATATTTGGTATCAGCACGGTGATTTGAGCGTGCCAAATTATTTGAAAGGTTTAGTAAAATTCCCAGAATTGAGCAAACAAAACGTTTATTAATGTTGGACGTGAATGTTTATAATCAAAAGAAGCTAATAAATAAGATAATCAAACAAATAATAACAGATACAAACAAAGGCACAGTTTTAAACAAATTAATAGGGAATGTGCTTTCCCTGTTTTGAAATTACTTGAAAAAGTCGACGATCCATAGAATTTGTTAATTGTAGGATGTCATCTGCTGTAATGCCGCGAGATATGTCAAGAATTGCTTCACACAACTCAGCGTTGCTCCTGAATTGTCGTCCGTTGGCGTACAGTCTTCGCTTCATGATGCTCCAAAGGTTTTCGATTGGGTTCAAATCCGGAGAATTTGCTGGCCACTTCATTTTTCGAGGTCCATCGAAGCCTAACTGTTTCAAATATTCAATAGTCTTGTGAGCAGCGTGTGACGGAGCATTATCTTGTATAACAAACAATGGCCCATCTGAAGGCAACTCTTTGCCTTTTCATCCACGGTTCAAGATGCTCCTTCATAAACGCTATGTATGCATCAGCAGTCATTTTGACGCCATCTAGTACTCTCCATGGGTCCACTAATGTGTTTCCAATAATACCACCCCAGATCATTATGCCTCCACCGCCTTGTTGGCGTCTCAAACACTGATGGCGATTCTGTCTGTTCATTACCCAGCCTTTGCACCATCAAGTGTTGCTCGAGTTTCGTCTGTGAACAAAACTTTAGAGAAGTCAATCTTCATATTGTCCTCGGCCCATTTCAATCGATTTTGAATTTAATTTCTCGTCAAAGGAGACTTCGATACAGGTTTGACTGTTGTTGCTATTTCCCTCAGATACCGACACCGAGTACTTTTAGACACAGTAGGATCCCCAATACGACTGAAAAGCTCTTGACTGGTAAGTCCAGGGTACTTCGTTGCCTCTCGTTTAAGTCGTGACATGAGACGACGTGAAATAACCCCTATTTGCCTTTATCTGCCCTTTGCGTACTTGTGTAGGGTCGGCGGTGAACTTTTTCACTGTTTGATGACACCTCCCTATCATTTTAGAAATTTCTTGGGTAGATTTACCTTTTGAGAGTTCTGAGGTAATAGTTTTCTTTTTAGCATCACTTAAACTGCTTTTACGGCCCATCTGTTTCACTAAATTCTTATACTTTTCTAATAATTTGGCACGCTCAAATCACCGTGCTGATAACAAATATGGCGCCAGTTTCAGTGATTGCGCAGCTCAGTGTTGCCAACATTGTGTGAAAATTTTGTGTGAATTGATTGGATGGTTTTTGAAATAGAAAAAAGTTATCTCGACAATAATTTGGCACGCAGTGTATATGTAGCTGAAGCCATAAAATTGTGTACAATTGAATTATCACAAATCACTATGAATGGATATTCCCTCAGGGAAGCCCGTGCCTTGAGCAAACTATAGGACCTTAAACTGAACCCAGACCTTAAGTGGAACATGTACATACGATCCACCGCTAAAGATGCTGGAAAAATGGTTGGTTCCTTGCTTCGCTCCAATAAGTACCTGACTCCTCGTGCCATTACAAAGAGCCAGATCAGGCTTAAAACGAGGACGGCTGTCATATTTGGGTGGGAACTGCCCAGTCTTCACTTCCCAGTCTCAATAGAATCCAAAAGGGTCTTTCCGGGTGACAAATTATTTCCCACCCTAGAAGAACCTCTTTTTCACAGACGAAACGTCGCATGCCTATAACGGCCCTATCGCTAATTCCATAAGAAGTTCTCAGATGAACTACATTCATTACTTCTACCATTTTTAACTTTCACGTCTAGGAACCGCCATGCTACGCGCATTGTAGGAATCCCTTTGTATTCAATCATTAGTGAGAAGTAAGTTCCACTCGAGCATCATCTTCTCGTGAACCGCTGATCTGTGGAACCTACTCCCAAGAGGGTGTTTTCCTGATTGCTACAATCTTAACCTGTCAAAGTCTAGGATTAACCGTTATTTCCCCCACGTGTCCCCATAAAGTGTATGTCTTACTCTATAAACCTCTACATCGAGTGACTCCCGGACCTTGTACAGGGTGAATCACGCTCTAAAAAAAAAATAAAAAATAAAATTTCGGCATTCAATAACCCATAGAGATTGATCTGTCGCTAAACAAAATCAACCAATCAAATCAAATCATTTATCACCGACGCTAAAGGGAACGGCACAACTGTTTCGGTCACCAAGCAGTGTCTTCTCTAATGCTGGTCATTAATAATATTAAGTGGCGCCTTGCTTGCTGTTTGGAGTTGTTGTATATTTCACAATGGCGTCCATGGTCGGTATTCCATCCCAGTTAAAAGTCAATATTTACCTTCAAGGTTGACAGGCTCTACTTATAAGATTGGCGCAACATACTCTTACCTATCCATATAAATATAATTTATTCAGCTTCGTCACCGATGAATTACTTAATTATGAATATCTGAAATCTCAAATTTCTATCACTTGTATATGCTTATTTGAACCGGCTTCTAGATGGCTCTTGATGGATAGTAGTCGTGGCTCGTGAGAGCACAGTCCTATGGGTAAGGGAAACTCGGATAAGTTACACCACGGATTTTGTGAAGAGCGGTACTATACCGAATCTAATTCGTTACCACATCGCGAATATTACTGACTAATGTGGAACTGGTAGCATTTTCTAATTTCCTTTCATCAAATGTATGACTGAAAGTTCGGGTTCCACGTCTTCCGTTCGATCTACGTGTGACAAAACAAAATCAGGTTTACATCCAGCCTGCAACCTTCCTCATCACATTTATTTTTTTTGTCAGTGTTGGTTGTGAGAGCGTAGAGCGGGTGAAGCTAGGAATATTTTGTGGGGTAGGGTTCTTCGTTGCCATGACCAAGGGCCATTTCCTCTTCCTTCTCGGTTTTCAAATATGGCGCCCATTTTGGAAAAAGCATTTCCGATTCTCGTGCGGCAAAACGACCCGAAAGGTCAATCGCTTTTTTTAACACACACACACACACACACACACACACACACACACACACACACACACACACACACACACACAGAGAGAGAGAAACACACACACATATGCACAAGCTAACGGATACATATGCATACACACACATTCACATATGTGTGCA